GGCGCGAAGCGCCGTGCAAGGGTACTAATTCCCCCCGGCTAATTACACCCAGGGAAATGAAAGCATTAGCGGAGTCTAAAGTTCATCAAATATTGCGGGCGTGGGTCACCAACGGTGTTGGGTGGGTGGTCATCCTCACTGATCTCAAAAATATGACGGACTGTCACGATAACGGACACTGATTGGTCCAATTTAAAGTCTGCATTATAACAACTGCATGACGACAGCGAAATAGCAAACATTTCTTGACTCTTGAGTTGATTTGATGATTGATAAATTTCTTGCAAATATATTTCATTTTTGCTCGCATTTTTGCAAGATTTTGTAAATTTCAAAAGCTCTCTGAGAAAGGAACTGCGAAAGAATCGGCTAAAAGAAGGGAGCCGACGTTAACAAAGGTAAGTTTGTTTTAAATATTGAGTTTTATAATGGATTTAAAACCTGACGGCCTTTGCGTATATGAAACAACTAAACAAGACAGCATATAATTTCAATGTATCTTTAATATTAGGGGGGCTGGGGGACATATCTGATTTTAATATAGTGCAGATAGCACTTTTCTTTGTGTAGTCCAGAAAAATATCAAATGTCTGATTTGCATATTTCAGAATTATAGAGGCCATTTCCAACCAGCGAAACATAATAGCTTTTACAAACAACAGGTCTCAACCTTCATGACGCTGTGCAATTATGTCAAGAGTTGTTAGTTGCATTTGACCACTTTATTTAAAAATAAAGACCTGTGTCACACTGGGTTTCAAATAACGGTTGAAACTCCATATTTGCTTCGGACACAGTGAATACGTGTGTTTCGCTTCGGTTCCAAACAAAATGTTGGCATTAAAACTGCTAAGTGGCTAAGGGGCTTCGGTGGCCAAGTGGTTAGCGCACTTGCCTTTCACCTCTGAGGCTGCAGGTTCGAGTCTCACTAAGTACCTTCTCAGTGCGACTCGAACCCAGTCACCATGTGAAAAGAGTAAAAGTCAACGCTCTGCCGAACGCCGTGGGTTTTCCCCGGGTACTCCGGTTTCCTCCCACAGGGAAAGTTGACAGGGTGGGTTAGGTAAAAAAAAAAAAAAAAGGGCCCACAGTAATTGGCATATGCTGTTGTGGTGACCCTGCCCTAGTTGGCAAAGCTAAATAAATAAATAAATAAAACATCGCAGATCGAAGTATAGAACTGTGTATTCCTGTTTCCTCTTGCATTATTACAAGATCAATATGAGATGAACCTTATACTGCATCTCTAGGTTTAGAACTGATAGAGTTATGCAGTATAAATAGTTTAGGTTTAGTTTAGGTTTCCTCCTGTAGGAAGAGATGACCCTTACTGGACCGCTAGGGAGAACAGTTTAGAACTGACAAAACTATCAAGTATAAATAAAGTTAGTTTAGTTTAGGTTTCCTCCTGTAGGAAGAGATGACCCTTACTGGACCTCTAGGGAGAACAGTTTAGAACTGATAGAGTTATCCGGTGTGAATAAAGTTAGTTTAGTTTACTGGTCAATAAGACAATAAAAGTCCCCCTTACTTAACTTCCAAGGAGAACAGTTTAGAACTGATAAAGCTATCCAATATAAATAAAGTTAGCCGGACATGAATACATTTAAACATGTGCATAATTTATTTGCAGACTAAGAAAATCGAGACGGAAGTTCTGCTGTCATTGAGTTATCTTCCAACAGCAGAAAGATTGTCTGTGGTGGTTATGAAAGCCAAGAATATAGAAATAAAATCGGAGGAAACGATTACGAAAAACAAGACTACAGTTCCGAGTGAGTAGGAGAACTATTCCATGATCATTTTTTAGTTATTGACGATGTATATTAGAGGTTTAGGTTATAACTATTCTTCCTTTACTCTGCGGTGAATTATTCAGCCTGTGACATTGGCCATGGTCTGGACCTCTTGGAAGAACAGTTAAGAACTGATAGAGCTATCCAGTATAAGTAAAGTTAGTTTAGTTTAGGTTTCCTCCTGTAGTAATATTGGATCAATAAGAGATGATCCTTACTGGACCTCTTGGAAGAACAGTTTAGAACTGATAGAGCCATCCAGCATAAATAAAGCTAATTTCAGTTTTCTACTTTAATGATAGTGGATCAATATGGGTGATCTTTACTAGCTAAAACAGTTTAGAATT